TTAAATGGTCCTATTCTTTCTCATTGTCTTTTTGTAGACAATGCATTGTTTTTTCTAAGAGTGGATAGCAGAAATTGTGGAATGTTGAAGTAGGATATACAGATGAATTTTGTTTAAGCTTCTGGTCAAGGTGTAAATTTGGATAATCATGTATTTTCTTTTCTCAAAATGCTTATGTGGATTTGAGAATGAGGTTTTGAAGCTTTGGGGGTGAAGGCGACTGATGATCCTAGAAGTACTTGGGTTTACCTATGATTTAGGGAGATCTAAGTTTGAAGCTTTGGCTTTTGTTAAGAATAAAATGGGGATGGAAAGTTACAAATGTGGAAGCAAAGATTGTTGTCTTTTGTTGGGAGAAGAAGTGATAGTGAAGGCAATAGCTAATGCCATTCCCAATTTTCCCTATGTGTTGTTTTATGTTTTTAAGAAAACTTGTTCTGAGTTGGAGGGAATGGTGTCTAAATTCTAGTGGGGAATCATGGAAGTAGGATCCATTGGAAGGTATGGAAGGTTCTTTACAAATCTAAGGTGATGGTGGCAGGGGGTTTAGACATTGTGAACTCTTTAATAAAGCCTTGTTAGCAGAAATAGCCTGGAGCGACTACTCTAAAATCCTGATGATTATTGGTGCAAATTGCTTAAGGGCATATATTTTCTGAATTATGGGTTTATGCAGGCAAAGAAAGGGGGTAGGGCATCATGGGGATAGTCAAGCAATGATGGAGAGTAGGGAATTGTTGGAAAGGGATTGTGTTAGAAAATCTTGAATGGTGAAAAAGTAAGCGTATTTGAAGATCACTGGATTCCAATGCTGAGGAGCACAGATTCAGGCCAAGGGTGCTAACTGATAAAATGAAGGCCTTAAAGTGAAAGATATCATCAGTGATGTATGTGGAGTTTTGAGCTGGTTGAGGATTGGTTTAATTTGGAGAATAAGGAGTTGATAAACAGTGTGAGACTGCCTTTGGTAAATGGTGAGGATAATCTTATCTGGTTGGGAAGTAGGGAAGGCGTGTATACTGTGCAGAGGGGCATATAAAGTAGCTTTGGGAGGAGAAGGTTGATGGGGTAATGATCCAGGCTGATCTTTTAAAATTCCCAAACTTATGGATAGTATATGAAAAATCAAAGTCCTCCTCCTTAAAGTTGTCCTTTTCATATGGCATGTATGTAAAGGTGCCATTACTACAAGGGAGGCTTTGTATGAAAAGAAATGCTTGTTGATCTTGTATGTGTGATCTGTAATGTACATGTGAAAATTATTGAACACATCTTTTTTTTTTTTTTTGTGCCCTTAGGTAAAGAAATGTTGGTTTGCTTCTTCATTATCCTTAAAGTTTAACCAATAGAATTTGAGAAGATTGGATAGCTAGTTACAGGATTTGGTTGGTGGATAGGGGAAGTTGTGGATGATTATGTAGTGGCTATTTTTGTAGCCACATGTTGGATGATTTGGAAGGCCAGGTATGATTTCATATTTGAAAGGGTGGAGATTAAATGCAGATCTTTGCTTAAAATCAGGTTGTGGGGTTGGTAAATGAGTATTGGTTGATGTGGTCAATCAGAAGAAGGCACAGGTTTTGGATAAGAGTTCTAATAGAGTTTTAAATTGGCAAAACCGTTGAGGGATGGTGAAGTTGAACATTGATGGTGCTTTTTGTGTTAGAAGGAAGAAGGCTGCTATTGGAGTGCTGGGTAGGAATGATTAGGGTCAGTTTTGAAGGGTTGGGAAGAGTGGTGGTTGCTGATTCAGCTTTTATGGCTGAATGTTTGGCAATGTTGAAGCTCTTTCATTAAGAGACTTGTTCACTGATAAAAAAGTCATTTTAGAGACAAATTGCTAGAACTTATATCGAACAATGGGTTGGCTAAGGATATGAAAGGTTGTGAATGGGCATGTGTTGATATTCTTCAAAAGTGCTTTGAGCTGCGTGGGTTTGATAGTTTTGCTCTTTTTCTTTGGCTTTAAGGAAAGGGAATTATGCTGTTGATTGAATTGCAGCTAGTGTGATGAGAGCATGGCATTGCAAGGATGGCTTTATGAGCCACCATCTTCTCTTGTCTCCATTTTGTTGCAAGACCTGCATGGCATGGGTGATTTGAGAATAAGGATGTGCTTGATCTAGAGGTCAGAGTTGCTGAAGAGAAGGTGAAGGAAGGTATTGGCTGATGCTAGTTTGCTGGCTTTTTTGTTGTGTTTTGTTTTGTGTATTTCTTTTATTGCTTTATAGGTTGTACTCATAGGTTATTGCTTTCGTTCTGTTTCTGTTTTGTGTTTTTTAGGTTGTATTTCAGGTTTTGTTTTCTTTTACAGGGGATTAGTGAGTGTTTATTTCTTTTGGTATTAATAAAACGGCCTCTTTTTTGCTAAAACAAAAAGATTATTAACATTAATATTAACATCATGTTGATTTGTATAAATTTTAACTTTTATATTATTATTAATTAGGAATAATATAACTCACTTCATACTCCATGCAACAGAGTCATTTCTGGTTGATAATCAGTAACAAAACGACAACGAGGGTGTATCTGTTGGCATGTCATGTCGTCACCACCGTAGTTTACCGTATATATTCTTAGTTATATAATTTATTTATCCCACATTCTTCCATTAATCATATTAAATTTACACGATACTTGTGCTTGTTCATTTACTACTGAAAATGTTAACCGGACTGAGATCGCTGCCATTTCCTTCTGCTTAAACAAAACAAGAATTCATGAAGAACGAGAAGCCCACCAATTGAGACAAGGTCAGAAGCTCACGCGTCTCAGACACCTCAGTTTTCCAAGAACGGGGACTGCTTGAAATTGAGAACTTCACGCTGCAAGTCCAGCTTTCAAGCAAACTCGAGATTTTCGAGCAAACGAAGTATGGAGGTAACAGATCTTCTGGATTAACAATTATGCCGTTATGCTTCGAACAGTTGAAGAAAGTGTATGACTGAACACTGAACAGGTACTTCCATTCCATTGATACATTAAAAACACCTTTTAATTATCTGCAAATCGTGAACTTTTTCCATATCCACATGGTGGGCGCAGAATAGGAGTTCTGATAAAATATTAGAGACAGCTTATATTGTTGTTGTTGTTGTTGTTAGTATTTTCAAATTATTTGTACATCCTTCTCCAAGGTAAAGTCGGAAATGCATCTCTATATTGCTGTCTGTCTGATAGATATCCTCCGAAGATGACTGTACATTCTCGCCTTTTTTATTGACACTTCAGGCGTCTCAAATCGGTAGGGATAATGCTACTAGGCAGTCGATGTCAACGCTAGAAGATACGCCAATGATACGCGGGGAAGGCGTCACATTTTGGAAAACAGATGTCCCAGCTACAAGTTCATCTCCTCTGGTAAACTGATGCTCAGAAAATATAGGCTGCAAAGCCAGTAATATTAATGAAATATGAACTTACTAGCAAGGATTGGTATAAAAGAAAAGCAAGTAAAATGCAGGTCATGTGTGATAAATGAGTGGTTCAAGGTTTACAGAATAAAGATAGATGCTAGTAGATAGAAGATCATATGCAGCACTGAAATAGACGCTTCTAGCATACCATTTTTAAGTTTCAAGACATTGTTGAGACTTGAGAGGAACTAGAAGCAGCTGGTAAATTGCTTATTTGGTACTCTCACAACAAATATTGTTTTGACAATGTCACGCCAACAAATCAGGGTCCCTGGCTAATTCTAACAGCTCGTAAAAATTTAGATAGTTTTCTGAGCCAGCCACTCTACACCCCTACCCAACACCCTACAAAACACGAGAGAAGAAAAGGCAGTGGACATTGAGGACAGAGTAGAGACCAAGAACAAGTTAGCACTCCGAAAGACATAAGATTGAAAGGGGGAGAAATCTTAAGTTAAGGTGACTACATGCTGCATGGCCAACATAAGTGTAGCACCTTTCCACAAAACAATTTCTTTCTCCCTTTCCAACATGATTTTCGTTTAGCATCAAGAGTTAACAAGCATGGAAGGGAATTTTTGCTTTCTTCAATACGTAACAACACGAATCACACTAGTACTTTAAACATTACCAAGGTAAATATAAAAGGCAAACAATAGCACCATCTCATCAAATGGTAATTGATAAAGTAATCAGATCTATCACCTTGCAGACATGAAAGCCATCCCACAAAAGACCGCCTTAACAGATTGCTTCTGTCCCGCATAATCAAACGCCAATGGCAGCATTTCATGCAGTGTTAAAAAAGCCATGACTCCCCCAACTGCAATAATTGCAGAACATATATAATCAATATAACTACAAAAAATAATTGTGATATTTAGAACTTCTATTAGCACAAACCTGATCCAAGCAAACCTTCAAGAATCTCAGGACTTAAGCTGCTAGGGAATAAATAGGCTGCAGTAAAACAAAAGAATTTATCACAGTAAATTCAAATTTATTAATGCACAACTCCAAAAAGCATGGTTTTGTAAAAGATTAAACCTGCAAAATTATATCACAACTCACTTTAAGACTGATAGGAAAAGAGAGCATATGTAGAAGGTTAATTAAAATGGGCATAATATCAAGCTAATATGCCTTGCATTCTAAAGCTTGTTGATACATGGAAACCTCAAAAATCCAATGCTAGAACTCTATTCAATTTCACACGGATTACACATGATACTCCCCTATTTATAGAATATAAGTTTGTATCAAATATCCTAAATTAACCCTAATTGTTTTTTTTTTCTTTTGGTACATACATGATAATGTCTTCTCATTGGGGGTAATCCTATTCAAGACCCAGCAAAGCACTAACCCTCAGTTTGGATAGGAAGAATAGTTGAAAGGAAAAAAAATGAGAGGAAAGAAAAAGTGAAGATAAGAGAAAACTGGAAAGAAAAAATTCTCTCTCGTTATGTTTGGATGAACAAAAGAAAATAAAGAGAAAAGAAAATAAACAAATATTACAATGACTATAATGCTCCTATATCAAAAATAAATTATATTTCATATAATTCTTTATACAAATAAATTGAAGGAAAAATTGCATTAAAATTAATTTCATCAAAATAATTTAAAATATAATTTCATGTTATCATATTTAAAACCAAATAATTTACTAAAAATATATTATTTTTCTATTTAAAAAATTATTTGGCATTGATGTTAAAATAATTGATTTACCATTTATTAAAATTAAAATAAAAGAATTATAAACCATTTCATCAATCTGTAATTCAACATCAAAAGATCCAGAAAAGGGAAATAAAATAAAAATTGCACACCAATTTGGCATTGACATTGCTCTGCTCCATTGTTACCATGAAATTGAAAAAGAACCAGAGTTGAGGAAGAATAGTGCATGATGAGTCGCTGAAGCTGCCTTGGCTGAGAAAGAACGCGCTTAGGTGGAATATTATGATGCCGCTGCTTGGGTCAAAGATGATGAGTCTCCAGCAGAGAGGCAAAAATGATGGATAAGAGAGGGAGAGAGGAGGGGGCAAAGGATGGAATAAAAATTTTACTCCCAAAATCTCTCCCCTTGTGGAGAGAAAATGTGATGGGCCCCACACCTCATTTTGTCCTCCACTTTTCTCTCCTCATCCAAACTGGGGGAAACTTATTTTCTCCCTCACTTTCTCCCCATATTTTCTTTCCTCCCATATTTTACTCCCATCCAAACAAAGCATAACTTACCCTAATTCTGATTCCCTAAATACTCTTACCCTCCTAGATTCCCACAGAATATTCGTCCTCATCAATATTACCTACCACTACTATAATATAGCATTGCATCTTAGACTGGGATCACCCCTGTCTTCGATAAAATATATATATATATATATAGCATTGCATCTTAGTCATGCTTTCCTTTCCATTGAAAAGAGGGGAAAAAAAAAACAAACTCCTACAATGTAGACCAACAAAAGGGAGATAGCTTACCAACAATAACAACTCCCAGGGGTTCAGCAAAGCCAGAAAGAGAAGCCAATTTGAATGCCTGCCACTTACTAAGATATATTCATAAACAACAAAATTAAAGTTTTAGATAATTGATCAAACTAATAGTTTACTGTCATTAGCAACACAAACTACCAGATGCACACAAACAGAATGACATCAGCCATGTCAAAATTTACATATGTGCGCATCCTGGAGGTAAGGTCATAAGCATCTATGTTCATTTGTAGACAGGTAACAGCATCACTATCCAAAAGCAGTCTCAATTTTTTCTTTATCTTCTCTGATAAACAACAGAAATATTGTAGTTATCCTCATGAAACAGCCAAGCAATGGCTTCCATAGCCACAATCATATCCATGCTGCAACTAGAAAGTCTGCCCACAACCCTAGACATACTATCATCTACACTGCGTACAGGACAAACTATTTGGATTGCAAGCCCACCATCAACCTCTTACAGCTACTGAACATATATTTTCCTACAATGTGCCTTTACATTTTACATGGATCAATGTTGAATTCCCAAATTTTATGAGCTCTTTATTTACAATTTAAGGAATAGAAGCCTCCTGTCCGTTGCAAGTGATTGGGGGGGGGGAGAGAGAGAGAGCCAACAGCATTTGAGGAAGTTCTTACCTCTGCGTTGCAAAATAAACAGGAAGCGCAACCGCAACACCCTGGAAGCCAGATGATCAATGTGCTTTAAACCAGAAATAACTAAAAAAATAGTGCGTTTTAAACAATATGCTAGGAAAAGCAAAAATTGTTATCATACTTCTAAGTTTTTTATTCCCCCCCATTTTCAGGGTGCATGGAAAAAATCTTGTGACCATTCTTCTGGGCTCCTCTGTTTTATCTCAATGCAAGGTCTACTAGGCAGAAACTTAAGACAGTTTAACTCTTTTTCATTTCTACAATAAGAATACATCTCCCATACTGATTTAGCCTTTAGTCTTATAATGGGTAGCAAGAGCAATCATGCACCTAGAAGATGTTAAAAAATAATCAATAATCCCTAGTCTCATGACGAATTGGAGTAAAAGATCAAGTATTCAAACCCACTAATTGTGTGGAAAACATATAAAATTCAACAATAAAAATAAGCAAAGTAACATCAAAATACAAACTCAATAAGGCATCAAATACTAAAAAAAAGTGCAATGATTTTTCTTCATTGCTAATCGCACCAAGCAACTAAAATCGTAGCAATCAGAATATACCGGCACCATGAAAGATCAGCATATTACCTCAGGGATATTGTGTAGAGCAATGGCCAATGCTAGGTTAAGACCAACACGAAGGCCCTATTGAAAGAATACAAGACAAACATCATATCAAAGAGGCACTAGCAATCCATGTGCAGATATAGTGGGTGTTTGGTTTACAATTGGCCAAAAGCACAATTGCCATACCGACTTTCAAAACAGCAAAAGCAACTCCCACTTGCGTTTTCCAAACTAACTTTTCATGGCTTTTAGGTTTAGCAGATGAGCTTTCAAAATAAGTTTTTATACCCAAACATAGGTTTAGTGGAAGTTAGTTCACCAAAAGGACTTTCGGGTGCCAAAAGTGGTAATCAAACACCCCTGTAATCTCTCAATCAAAAATTCAACTTAATACCACTCCAGCTTTTAGAAAAGGGGGCTGGACACGGTACCTTCATGGATCCAAGAAACACGGCCATTCCTTCTGGAAAATTATGTAAACTTATACCTGTGAGATGACATGAAAGAAAATTTTACTTCAAACCTTGAGCAACAGTGGACAAGGTAAATAATAGTCAATGGGAATTCAAATTCCAATTTTTCCTTCATCACTTGATTCTACCAGCAAGATGAGTAGATAACCAAACAAAAAACCTCAGAGAAACATTAATGATGGTATAATAGTCAAGAAAATTCAAATCCTATGTTTCCTTCACTCCATAGCTAAAATTTTTCACTCTTGGCCTATAACCTGAACTCCCAGTGATATCACTGATTTTGAAGTTGGAAATTTTACAACATATCAGGAAACAGAATTGGACAGGTAAGAAACATACATGTACATGGTATATAGAATTTTGAAACATAAATGCTAGGTTAAGATATCCTGAAACAGAAATTAGTGAGCTGGGTTCTATATGTCACCGCATTTATCACATAACCTTCCTACCAATGAAAAATACCCTGTTTGTCACTTAAAGCAGATTGGTCATGAGGGCATTATTCTCCTGCATTATACTTAAACTTCCTTATAAAGTCAAATGTATTTCAGTAAATTCAATTGATCATCTGACATTTCTACTTTTGTATGCTATGGGTTGCTTCCTTTTTTTCTATTTTATCAACTTGTTCAAATGTATTGGTTTACTTATAGGGCTTAAAATTTTAGATCACTTCAGCAGCTCTTGTAATTTACAACTCCCAGTCTATATTTTTCTTCCTTTGTCGTTTAAGAAATCTACTGTCTAGTGTATTCCCAAATTCCAATCTTAATATCAGTTTTTGGTACAGCCTTACCAAAATCATGAGCCTTTGTCACAAATATGTGCAAGATTTAACCTGCTATCTATATGATGGAAAACAAAATATGGAATGCCTAGTCTCCCATTGAATAATCTGGGTTGAACTACAGGAAATTTTAGCAGGCTGGTCCCCCACTTCAATAATTAGCTTTTTCAGGGAGGTTCCTCACTCCAATTCACTGGCTATCACTATATTGCAATAAGAAGCCACCGCACTTTAAGTAAACCTCTAATACCAAAATAACCAGTATTTGCAAGAGGTCACAATCTATCAGCCAACAAATTTCAGCACATTATTCATGATATTCTTTGTGTGAGACTTAACCAGCAATCTACACTGCAGTTAGAAGGCTCAATTCTTTGACTAAAATCCTGATACCAAGATAACCAGTATTACATTTTTACTGCAGATAAGCAAATAGAGGTGATTTCAAAATCTGTTTCTCAATCAACAAACAAGTATGATGACCTACGGTACAAGAGGTTAAGTTTGAAACATACACATACCTATAGCTGTAATAATCCCACTAAATAAAACTTGGCGGCGACGCTTCTTCATTATGTCCTTGCCTCCGTCATCCTCATTTTTCTATTTCAAAGGATGTTGTCATACGATCAAAATTTATATCTATGTGGTAAATGACATTGCAGATGCAATGTTAGCATGCATAAGCATAAGTAGAGATAACATTCATTTTGTTGGAAGGAACATCATGGAAACCTTTCTACTCTTCACATCTGAAGCAGGAGCAAGTGTTGGCTCTGGGATAAAATTGGCCACGACAGCAAAGAATATGACACCCGCAAAAAACTACATGAACAGGAAGATCTAACTTTATCGTCTGAACTATTACATGAGAACATGCTATAAAGGTAAGAGAGAAAGACTGCTGTCCGTTAAATAGATAATTGCTCAAAAGCATAGCCTACCCAAAGGTTGCCTTTGAAGAAGCCAAGTGAGTTCAAAGCATTATGAGCAAGATCAAAGAATGATATACTCAGCATCAAACCTGCAGCAAAACCCTGTGCGGAAAGAAATATTTAGGAAAACAGAGATTCGCAGGCACGCCAACAAATATAATTGATCTTCTGTCTCATTTCACAAAGGAGAAGGGAGGAAAAAATCGAAATGAACTGATTAGGTCTGATCACAAAATTTTAACCAACGAAAGCCACCTGTAATAGCCCAAGCATCTTCAAACTGGGAGATTGATTAATTATTACAAATAGTGCCCCTGTTCCACATTGAGAACTCTTAGTCCAATTACACGAAAAAACTCTATCAGGAATTATAATCGAGACAAAAAAGACGCCGTGAGCTAATAGTTAGGGAAGCAAAGATGTCAAATATTTTCCATAAATGGAACCCGGAAGTGAAGAAGTAATTTTTTTTCCCCCTGGAAACACAATACTAAGCAAGTAGACAAACTCCTCAAACGGGTTTATAAGAATCTAAATATGCTTGCCATAGGATAAGAAGTGACGAGAACATCCTTCTCTAGTTGGATGACAAGACACAGAGTCCTATACATGAATGACGATACCATATTGTGCAGGAACAAAAATGCTCGAGGAAGAAAACAACCAGATTATGAATCTGAACTTTTCTATATATAAACAGAAAAGAGGAGGAGACAAGGGGGGGATAGTGTAGACGAATGTTTTAGGTATTAAAGGAACTGTTTCGTGAAAATGCACCGCACAAGCTTTCCAATGGTGCCGAAATTTGACATTCATGGGTATGAAAGATGAAGCACACGTACCGATAGAAGTACTCAAACCACCCACGAGTGAAAGAGCAAGAGCTACAGAGACTTGAGAATCCATGGGGAATTTGTTTCCGTGTTCCCCAAAATTGGGAGAGAAATAGAAGCAGCGAAGATTGAGAGAAATTGTAAGGGTGGAGAACCAAGGCAGAATGTCGAGACTCGAGAGAAATAGGACGGAATATAAGATGGCAGTTGATAAGAGAAAGAGAGGATTAAAGAAAAGAAAGGCGAGAGAAAGTGGGGGGAATGTTGCGTGGACTGGCAAGTAGCAACAGAGGTGATGACGAGAGAGGAGAAGGAATTTTAATATATTGGGGAGCGGAAGAAAGAGATGGTTTGAAGAGCCGGGCCAAGAAAAGAGGGAGGCTATTCCCTCCCGCTTTCTTTATCGGCGGTCTATACCTAACCTCACTTCTTCCTCCTCTCTACCTTCAGCTCCCAAGTTTTCTTTGCCCATCTTTCTCATTTTCCACCTTTCCGCCCTTGCTTCCTCAAAATAAGCCGGATTTTACAGCCCCTGCAGGTTGACAGTTTTCCTGCGAGTTTAGTTTTTAAAATTTATTATATACATTTTGAATTTTTATAAATATGATCACCCTTACAACCACAAAATATCTTATTTTGTCTATTGTGTTTCATTTGAACTCATTATTTTGAAATAATGTGCATTCCTGTATATAAAAATAATGTGTATTTTTAAAAAAATAAAAAAATCTTTTTAAAATATATAAATGACAAACTGTCAGCCTATCATAGAACTTTTGAGTTTAGAGTGAAAAACTTCACCTTCTCTCTAGTTTTTAGAGAGAAGGTTCATCTTCTTCTTATTTCGCTCAATTTCTTCTTTACCTCATGCTTTTCATGAATTCTAATCACAATCTTGACCCTAACTTCATCTTCTCAACACCTCTGTCTCAAAAGTAAAGTTTGAATCCTCTTACTTCCAAGGAAGAGGTTGATTTATTCAACAAAAACATTTCAAAACTTGATGATGAAGTGATAGACAAAGGATCAGATTTGATTCAACAACCCAAATAGCAAATGCAACAAATCAATAACATCTAATTTGAGCTACCAAGACACAAACATCAAGAGCAACCAATGGACATTCATATAAATGATGCTCCATAACAACATGCAAAGACAAACAAAACATCTACAGAGATTCAAGGGGCCAAAATTCTTATTTTTTATGAAGAGTCCTTGATTGGTTATAACGAATGCTATGGAATTTCCTCCGGGAGAGACAATACCCACAGAAATAAAGCTCTAGCTAAAGAATTAGAGCAAGAGTGGTCGCCATCAGAAAGAACTAAGAAATTAATGGATCAATATCCTACTCTTTAAATCTCTAAGGATGAACGGAAGAAAATTTGTCTGCCTTGGATGGATGCAATTATTATCAACACACTGGGCCTACAACTCAATCTTAAATCTCTTAAACCTAGGTTAGCAAGAATGTGGCAACTCAGAGACTTTGAATTGATTAACCTTGTTAATAGTTTCTATATTGTTAGAATTAAAGACCAATCTGCTTATGACAAAATCTCACTAGTGGTCCCTAGATAATATTTGATCATTATTTCCTTGTTCAAAGGTAGTCTCCTAGCTTTAACCTAAACTCTAACGTTTTAAGCAAAATTGCTCTATAGTTTAGACTCTCAAACATCCTAATACAATGCTATAATAGAGAAATTCTTTGGAGATTAGGAAATTGCATAAGAAAAACTCTGAAAGTGGACTCCAACTCTTTATCTGAATTAGACTTTACAAATAAAAATGGCAAAACTGAAAGAGGCAAGTTTATAAGGATCAATATAGAAGTTGATCACCAAATGAAACTTGTGCCCAAATTATTAATTAGATATGAACTCTATAATGTCAAGTACGAGAGTCTAAATTTAATTTGTTTTGGTTATGAGTGCTACGGACATAACAAGACTAACTACCCCCATAATCCATTAAACAAAACTTCAGAAAGAGCTAAGGGGACTGTCAAAAATCAACCCAAAAAGAAGAATAAAGAAGATTCAAGCGTTCTTAAAGTCTAAGTAGAGAAAGAAGAAAAGAAAATAACGAAATAGGGGGCTCGTCAGAATCTTACCAAAAGCTGCCAGAAGAAGAATTTAAGGAATTCATGAAATTCAGACAAGAGTTTAAACCTACAAGAAGCGCATGAAATTCAAGAAACCCAACGGCTAATCAATCATCACATCACATCAAAGGTCCTAAGCTATCTTTTGGAACAAGATACGACGTCCTTACAGAGCTCAACCATGATGTCGAAGAACAGGGAAGAGACGGCTTTGCTACCAACTACGGTATAACTAAGCCGACCTCACCTCTAAAACTTGTCAGACAAATCTAAAAGAAGAAAGATGTCTCTGGTGTGAAAAGGGCGAGATTGAAGGACCAAGAAGTGGAGACCAAAAATGCTAAAGGAATGGGATTAATAAGAGAGGATAGAAAGATTAACAAGAATAAAGCTGGGCCTAGCTTTTCATGGGATGGCCCAAATACCATTAACCTTGACAAAAATGCCTCAATGGACCTATAGCCCAAAAATGCCAACCACAGGCCCACCAAAAAGATCCATAACATTAAGAAAGGAAGCAAAATAAATCTAATTATCTTTGAAAAGCCTAAAAATAAAGTCACTATTGAGCACGTCCCTACTAATGAAGCTGTAGAAAAAATAAAAAAAGGACATATATGCACTAGATTTAAACATATGGAGAGCTGCCAGCCTTCACTCTGAAAATCCTGAGCAAAATTCTCAAATTCCTACCAATTTGTTACTCGAACAAAACAAATCACCAGACCCTATGGATGGTCAATCTGTCATTCTAGAAACTCAACTCAATGTCACTACCATTATGGATCATTGATTCATTTCTTTAGGTCTTGATGCAGAAGGCCACTATAATCATAGAAATTATGATGACGAATTTTTGGATGATGACCTACTGGACGAGGACTATCATAACCAAGTTCATAATGATGATTTGGAAGATGATGAATTCAGTGACGATAAAATAGAAGCCTCAAAGAAATCTCTCAATGGCTAGCCGTAATCTAGGTTCACCTTATCCTTTTATTTAGTTAATTATGGATATAATTTGTTGGAATTGTAGGGGTGCTTGTGCTAGAAGTTTTCCTTAACGCATTAATGATATCACTAAAAATTATAATACTCAAATCCTTATTTTATTGAAAACTAGAGCTAGTGGTTCTAGAGCTGATAAAATTATTAGAAAATTAGATTTTTCTAACTGGATTTGAGTAGAAGCTACCGGATATACTGGTGGTATTTGGCTTTTATGGAATAATGATATTGTCAACATTGATTATATTTATTCCAATGTTTAATTGCTTCATTGTAGGGTTAACATTTTGGCCCCTAATAATTACTACATGCTTACGTGTGTTTACGGTGACCCTATTTCTCATAATCGTGATCGTGATCTCCTTTGGAACTCTATCATCTCTTTAGCTCAAAATACTATTGATCCCTAACTTATTGTTAGAGATTTTAACTTTATCTTTCCTGTGATGATAAGTGTAGGGGAGATAGCTTTAACTGGAAGTCTATGAAACAATTCTGTCATTGTATAAATTCTTTCAATCTTCTCGAATTAAACTATTATGGTGAAAGATTCACTTGGAAAAATGGTAAAAATCAAAGAATGGCTGGATTGGGCTTTCTACAACACCAATTGGAGACTTAAATTCCATCAGGCTAATACTTTCTATCTTCTTAAATATGGTTTTGACCATCGACCAATTAGAATTCAACTTGAGAAGAAGAATCATCATGAGTATAAATCTAAACCCTTTCACTATCACACAGCTTGGATGCCTAAAGATTCTTTTCATCCGTTAGTCAAAGATTGATAGATAACTGACGATTGGATAGAATGGACAACTAAATTTGCTAACTTTGCTCCTAATTGGAATAAAGACAAAATAGGTAATATTTCTTTTAAAAAGAAGAGAATTTTGTCTCATTGGAAAGGATTGACAAGAAAAGAAACTATAGAGATAATTACTTTCTCAGGAAGTTAGAAAAGTCTCTTTGGAATGACTATAACCTTGCCTTACTACAAAAAGAGCTGATTTGGTTTCAAAAGTCTAGATGCAAGTGGTTGAAATGGGGTGATGAAAATACTAAATTCTTTCATGCTACATCTATTATTAGATGAAAAAGGAACCGATTCTATCGCTTGAAGATGAAGATGGCACTTGGGTTCAGGATCATAGCAAACTGAAAGACATAGCTACCTCTTATTTTGACAACCTATTCAAGGAAGATGTCAATACCAAACCTTCTCTTATTACCAACAGAAGTTTTCCACCTCTCTCATTCATCCAACTTTAAATTTTACATAGAGAGGTTATTGATGACGGAATCAAAAATGCAGCTTTTGATATAGGAGCTTTTAAAGCCCCAGGCCCTGATAGAATACGCATAAAATTCATCCATACATACTGGGATGACTTAAAACATCGTACCATCAAATTAGTCAAAAAGGTCTTCAGAGAACCATAAACTATTGGGATGGTTAATAACACCTTTATCACTCTGATCCCTAAGATTGATCATCCCTCTTGCATAAAAGACTGTCATCCGATATCTCTTTGCAATATTAGTTATAAAATTATCACTAAATTCTTTCCAACCGTCTTTGTACTTGTACAAACCACTTAATTAGTGATAATCAATATAGTTTCATACAGGGGCATCAAAGCAGTGATAACACTATAATAGCCCGATAAGTCATTCATACCATAAGGAAAAAACTAGAAAAAAGGGTCTCATGGCATTTACAGTCGATCTTGAGAAGGCTTTTAACAAATTACCTTAGAACTTCATTGATGACACTATTAATTCCATTGGGATTAATAGTCACTTTAAAAAATTAATCCAAGCAGTTATCTCTACTACACGAATGCGTGTCCTTTAGAATGGACATCCTTCTAAGAAATTCACACCTTCACGGCATCCGTTAAGGGAATCTTCTTTCTCCTATCTTTTTATTTTTTACATTGAACGCTTAAGCCATTGTATTAATAGTAGCATTGATAATAATAAATGGAGGCCAGTTAGACTAACAACTAATAGGCCTCCTATCTCTCATTTATTCTTTGCTAATGACCTTATTCTTTTTGCAGAATGTTCTCTATCACAAGCCATGGTCATGCAATAATGCCTCTTTAATTTTTACAATGCTTCTAGATGGAAGATAAACACTGATAAATCTAAACTCTTCTGTTTGAAGAATGTCAACATTAGCAAAGCTACGCAAATTAGTCATGAGTTAGGAATTCCTCTAATAAAAAATCTTGAAAAATACCTTAGAATCCATATTGTTCATGAAAAGGCTTCTAAGCTTACTTTTGCCCCTCTTCTTGATTGCTATTTGAATATGATTGGGAAATCTGTTCTTATCAAATCGGTTCTTTCAACTGTTCCTAGCTATATCATGTAAACCATGCTCTTACCAGACAATGTTTTATTAGAATTGGAAAAAACCTCTGGAAATTTCCTTTAGAATTCATCTAATGGTAACAAAAAACCTCATCTACTTTCTTAGGATTGCATTACCATGGACAAAAAAGATAGAGGACTTGCATTAAAAAGCTCAAAAATTAAAATATTGCCTTCATCATAAAGCTTTGTTGGGGTCTTATCACTAAACCTAACTGTCTTTGGGTGTGGCTCTTACATGATAAATACAAATGCAACAAACCCAAAATTCTAATGGTGGTTAAACCTAACTCTTGTTCATACACTTAGAGTAGCATTTGCAAAATTTGGGATAAATTTATGCTGTATGTTGGTTGGAAGATAGGTAGAGGGGATCAAATGTCCTTTTAGTAATGACAAATGTTCTCCACTCCCAAAATCCCTTATTAAATATGCTTTCCCCAATGCAGATTCTATTCTTCACGCTAGAGTTTCTGACTTTTGCAACAATAAAAGATGATGGAATATTGACCTTTTAAGTCATTATCTTCATCATGACATCATCAATCAGATCTTGCTTGTGTAGCCCACTAATCAACAAAGAGAAGATATTATGTTTTGGAGGGCATCATTTGATGGCAATTTTGTCATCAAATCTGCCTACAAAGCAATGGATAACTACAAGAACTAAAATCATTTTAAGATCTGGTCTAACATTTAGAAATGGCCTACATATGAAAAAATCAGATATTTCCTTTGCAAAGCTGCCTGGAATCGATTGCACACTCACTCTTCCCAACATAGTAGCTACCTTTTTGGTTGTAACTCTTCTATTCACATCTTAAGAGATTGTGAAGAAGCTAAAGAGGTTTGGGAAAAGTTGGTAATCCCACAAAACTTAACATCTTTTTCTCTCTTAGTTTGCAGGATTGGATAAATTGAAATGTAAAAAATAGAGCAAGCAGATTGAATACGAGAAGAATATCTTGGCAGAGACTTTTTGCCCAAACTTGCTGGAATATTTGGAAAAGCAGATGCAAGAAACTCTACTCTGATGATGAGGTCTTACACAGTACCATTGCTTTCTTTAGCACTGAACCAATCGACAATGATCTCAAGCTTCTATCTAAATTCAATCAACTAAATAAAGGAGACACTACATATGATACCAAATAGAGTCCACTTGAACATGGTTGGATTAAACCTGACATAGACGTCTTTGTTAACAACTATGGCACTGTTGCTTGTGGAGGCATCATCAGAGATGATAAAGGGAATTGGATTAAAGCATTTTCAAAATTCCTTAGTTACCATCCTAGCATAGAGGCAAAACTTATGAGAATTTATGAAGGACTCAACCTCTATTGGAATGAGAGATTATTCAAAGTCAATATCTAGTTGAACTCAATGGAGGCATTATCTCTTATTAGTAACAACTACTAAGGAATCACTCTTTATCCAACATTATCAAGATGATAAGAGATTTTACTATAAGAGATTGGATGGTTACCTTTGACTATGTCAATAGAGAAGAAAATAGATGCATTGATCTCTTGACTTACCAAACAATACACAATAACTTTGATATTCAAATCTTTGATGAACCATCGTAAGATTGTACAAGCCTTTTAGCCTTAGACATAACTAGATTTTAGTCTTTCTGCACAGTTTTTCATGGCCTTGTATTAAAAAAAAAGAAATATATAAATGATAATTTGGTCCTTCAAAATGTTATAATTCTCTTGAAGTCTCTAAAAATTTTTCTGTCATTAATGAATTTATATAAATTACCAAATTGTCCTTGTTGAAAATAAATGATTCATAAGTTTTGTTTATATATTTACAACTTTTCTTCTTATATTCGCAACAATGCAACAGTAAATAAGGAATTTAACATGAAAGTTGTGATTTACTGTTGTATTGTTGCAAATATAAGAAGAAAAGTTGTAAATATGTAAACAAACTTGTGAATTATTTATTTTCAATAAAGATAATTTAATAATTTATATAAATTTATTAATGATAGGGAAATTCCTAGGGACTTTAAGGGAATTAAAACATTTCGAGAGACCAAATTGTCATTTATATATTTCAAAATATTTTTTTTATTTTTCTTTTTTTAAATATAGGATTTATAATGCTAGTAAAATAAATGAAAATACCTCCCACTCTATTCATCAAACACTTCTAACTAGCCCAGGTTAAGAAACGAGATTAAAATTAATTAAGAGTCTTGATTTTTTCAAATTTTTTTTATAAAAATCCCAAATTATTCTTAATTAAAATTATTAACTTTATTTTAAATTTTAATATCAAACCTGCTACAATCAACTACATATGTAAACATTTTTGAAAATAATTCATTATACCTCCTCAAATTTTATAAGGTATCTTATAAAACTTCTATAAACAAAGAATGGAGGAATAGTTTATTAGGAGGAAGGTGCCGCCGTAGCAAGCATAGCAAATGCAAACAAGAAGTTTAAAAAAAAAAAAAACCAAGCAGAAGAAGAAATGGAAAAGGCAGACAGGAGAATTGTATAATATTGTACCTTGTTCGTTTGCGTTTACAGGCTGATCCAAAACCCTCAACCCTTCTTCTTCAGATCCTACGCCATTACTTCCCCTCACATGGCCTCTACTCTTGCCCTTAGATTCCGATCTTCTCGTCTCCGAACCGCCTCATTGTTTCGGTCATATCTCCGCCCCAGGCCCATCGCATCTCCGCCCTTGTTTGTTGCTTCTCTCTCTCATGTCCCTGCGATCCTTCTCCCTGATTCCTCGTCCTCTTCCTCCGGCCACCGTTTCTTCTCTACAGCTCGCCGCCAGCCATTCCGATCTAAGAAGACGGTCGACATAGGCGCCCGAGCCAGGCAGCTTCAGAATCGCCGACTCTGGACTTATGCACTGACCTTCAGCTGCATCGCAGGCTTTATTGTGATCGTCTTGAATAATTTCCAAGATCAATTGGTCTTCTACGTGACTCCGACTGATGCTCTCGAAAAATACTCCTCGAACCCATCGAAAAACAAGTTTCGCTTGGGTGGTCTGGTCCTCGAAGGCAGCGTCGTGCATCCGGCTTCATCCCAGGAAATGGAATTCGTAATCACTGATTTGGTTACTGATATTTTGGTTCGCTATCAGGGTTCGTTGCCGGATTTGTTTAGGGAGGGGCACTCCGTGGTGGTTGAGGGGTTTGTAAAGCCCTTTACAGAGGAAGTCAAGAAAGAGGTTTCGGCTAAAAGTGTGTCTGGAAAGGCGAGGAGTGGAGAGTGTTATTTTTCGGCCACCGAGGTTCTTGCAAAGCATGATGAGAAATACATGCCCAAAGAAGTTGCTGCGGCTATTGAGAAAAACAAGAAGATGATAGAGGCTGGCGTTGCTGTGGATGAGGGAGCCAAGAGCTCGAAGATGGATGATACAAATCGATTTTGAGATTTCCCTCTCTCTCTCTCTTTCTCTCTCTGTTTTTTTTTTTTTTGGGGGGGGGTTTGGTTCTACTAGATTATAAATGCCATAATTTTTGGGACGAGAAGTGAGTTATCAAACAGGATGATAATTAGGATAGGCATTGGTATACGATGAGTATCGGGAGAGGTAAACTTGATTGTTCATCTATTATATTTTGTTGTTGTAATTCATTTTTGTGAGGTGATATTTCTCAAATGAATAAGCGAAATGATAACTTCTGTTATGTCTGAAGAATCTGTAAGATGCTTTCCTGTTGTTAGAAGTAGGAGTTTATGGGCAAGGACTGGAGGACGAGAATGGCCTGAGACCTATGTTACAAGGGCATCGGGCACGTTCTTATAGAAATGTATCCCATATACGGTGATGACGAACATTGTGTTCTCCCTGAAATGACAGATAAGAGTGAGAGTTGCAGTGAACTCCAACTTCGCCTTGCCTGTGTCTTCCTCAATAACACTTTCTCCTGTGGAGCAAATCTTCAAGTGATTGTGTCCGGAATAATATGCAAAGGAAGAATTTTCTCCCTTTAAGTATCATCCCCCCCCCCCCCCGGGGGCCGAGGGATAGAGTTGTGTTAGGGACTGCTGGAAATGACTCCTCACAACTGTAAATTTGAAATTTATTTCGTTTCATTTGATAGTTCAGTTCCAAAGGAGGGAATTAAAGCCAAGTCGTTAACCAAGTTGAGGAGAGCTGACTGTGGGGGTTCACACCCAACAAGAGATGAAAATTGGCGATCAATAGCCCACGTAATCTCACGGTGAGAATTCAGATCCTGTAGAAGCAGTCTGGAGGCTTGTTGATGGGGGGATTGAATCCTTACCATCAAGGATAAATGGCATCATATCTAAGGGGAGGCTAACGGTAATGTACTTGTGGGGATCTAATATGCTGAGCCTATTCCACTAGCCACCTCTTAAGAATCGAGTTGATATAGGACATGTCATAAAGATGTAAGATCCCAAACGAAAGAAAGCGACGATGCTTGCAAGACAAATATGTACTGTGGAATGTGAACAGATTGGTGAATAATAGAATATGAAAAATAAGAGGGAATATACAGGTCATAATGAAAACCAAATCTTAAAAATCATTTTACGATAATGTTTTCTTTTCCAATTTCGTAATTCGCCATGGACGTCAAGAGGATCTCCTGTGCCGTGCTGTTGGTGGTTGCTGCCTCCATGTCGGTGGCTTTGGCCTCCGAGGCCCCTGCCCCTTCCGACTCCGCCTTCTCAACCACCACCATCCCCATGCTTGGAGCATCCCTCTCGTCATTCCTTGCCTTCTACTTGCATTAAATATTCCCACCACCGTCTAGACAGGAAGAGTAGATTCTCAAATTTTCCTCTATAAATAAATTGTACCAATTATGGTGTTCTTTTTCGTATGCTGCAATTGTTTCATTCAATGAACATTATTAGGAGTGTCGTTAGAGTAATTAATGCTCGATCTATTTGAATAGTTCAAACTCCCATAAAGAGCTTTCAGAGTCTAGTTGTTTTTGCGATTTCAATTTCAAAATTGCACCACAAAAACTGAAAGCTATTCAGATCAATTTCAAGAGATTATGAGTTATTCTTTCTAGCTCTTGCTATGAAGCTTCTTTCTAATGCAGATTTGAAAGCTTAAATTGCCAAACACGGTTATTTAGTCTGCATTTAGGCTAGTAAGGGATACACTTCCAAAAAACCCTGATTAAACATCATCTTCAAACTGGAGAGCACACGAATTCTGTCTCCTTCTATTTGCTTGGATGATTGCTTTTTACTTTGGCACGAAGGAATAGGAAAGCCCCCGTTATGTAGAATAGGGAGGGGGAAAGGGAGAAGAGAATATGAAAAAGAGAGAAAAGGAGTAGAGAGAATACAGAAAGAATAAATAACTAGGTTGAAAGAAGAGAGAAGAGGCAAACTATAACAATTTTTATTCAATCAAAAGCGTGTTCAAAGTAAATGAGTTAACCCTAAATATAAATGCAAGAATATTCTAAAAATCCTAAAATTAAATAAAAAGGTGACAATAACTGCTGAAAGATAATAATAATTCAAATTAAAACAAAATATTCCTAATTAATATGAGAGTAAAATATACTCCCTCCATTCAAAAATGTAAGGCATTTTTAATTGAATATCACCCCCAATAAAGTAGTTATCTACTTTCAAACTAACTCTATCTTTTCATATTTATCTCTATTAAATATCCTACAATTAATACAAAGTCACTATTAATAGAGGCATTTTAAAAAAAAAAGACAATGATTACACCTCGAAAGACTAAAAATGCCTTACATTTTTTAACATCCAACTCCTCAAAAAATACCTATATCTTTGAACGTAGGGAGTATTCGATATTCAAATCTTTAATATCTTTAATTATTTCTTTATCTTTTTCTTTTCATCCTATCATTTCTCACTTGTTTGAAGAACTCTATTTTGAAAAGTAAAATGGTGGATATGCTCAGGAAGTATGATGGGATCGAGAGATTTCATGTTATTTGGAAATCATTTCTAGTAAATTAGATATCAATAAATGGCATCAAATAAACAACAAACAATTTGAGCATGTGAAATCACAACATACAAATCTAAAAATTCTTTCCAACAAACAAGATAATAATAGAGAAAACCATGTGATTCAAAAATAATTTGTTCTTCTACAACCACAATAATGTCATCACTAGAAGGTATAATAAACGAAAGATGTTGAACAAGAGTTGAATGAAATTGAGTATCATGATTAATAGTATTAGAACCCAAAACTAACATGAGTAAAGTTTGTTTCCATAACTATTCTTCTTTTATAATATCAGCTTTCTCTTGAGTCTCAATAATGATTATATTTAGACCAGGAGCAAAAAATTTAACATGGTTTGACTTAACTTCTTTGTCACATGCCTCAATCTCAAAATGATCAAGCTATTGCTTTCTAACACCACTTATATAGGTAAAAGGTCTTTGTTAGGGATATTATCTCCTTTAGAAGTTAAAGTATTTGGGTCTTCATTACTTTTTAAGATGATAGGATTTGAAGTTTTTTCCTTTTAATGCGACTTCTCTTTCTGAACTTGACATGAACATATAAAATTCAAGTTAGATTGGTCAACCAAATTATACTAATAGTAACATTGATGGCTATTAACATAATCAAACTTGGCTTCTCTCCTCCAAAACCCAAATTAAATATGGACCATAAAAATTTAATTTGAATAGTCTAGATTAAATGTTTTTATTCTTATTTTTATTTTGTTTATTAAAATATAAAATTATTAAATATAATCAACAATATGGATAGTTCAAATTTAATATGGGTAGTTTAAATTTAATATTAAAAATGTATATAATTTTAATGTTAAATTTGCACTATCCAAAGTATATCTAGATGGTCAATTTATAAAAAGTAATTCTTTGAAAATATCTAATCACCAATCTAGACCATTCAAATTTAATATAGATGGTTCAAAATTAATATTAAATTTGTTATTAATGTTAATATTAAATTTGGACCACCCATATTAAATCTAAACTACCCAAATTAACAATAAACATATTTATTAAATTTTTTAATAAATATAAAAATAAATATATTTAATCTAAATTGTCCAGATTTAATAAGGGGTGGCAAGAGGGAAGCCAAGTCCAACATAATTATAGCAATGGTGATCAACATAATCACATTAATAAAAATAATTATATTGATGATAATTAATATAATCACATTGACGATGTCAATATAATCATATTAGAGATTGAATGAGCTTATACATCACGATTGAAGGTGTTTTTCTTTTAATTCTAGGTAAAAAAAGTGAGATAAAAAATGTAACATCTCAAAATTTGATCATGATTAACTAAGCCTAATTAAGGTGATTAAGTGTGAAATTAGTATAGTGTGTTGCCAAAGAGGTCTAACCAACTTTTTGTTAGTAATTTCAGCCTTAAATCCGGCCCAAAGCAAAGCTGAGTTATCCATACATCGAAAAGAGAGGGAATTAAGAGAAAATAGCTCTGTGCTACATGTTGCGACGTGTAACGCATTCACTACAACACATGTGTGGAAATGCATGAAGAATTGGCTTCTCTATGCCATGCGTCGAGTTGTATACTACCTACGCCATGATAAATGGTCAAACTTTTGCTTAAGTGAGCCTACATTTATTTGCGAAATCAAAAGGAAAGAAAGGAGTAAATAAAGGGCATTCACCAAACTCTACTAAGGCTAAAGATTGTGAATCATTAGGGACATTTTGGATCCTACAAACACTGAGAATAAGCCTCTTATACCCTTTTCTTCACCTTTTTTTATTTTCTTGAAGAGTTAAGTTAAGGTTTATATTGGGATACTGATTTTTGGTCTATAATGGCTATGGGTCTAAACCCATAAACTTAAATTAAGTTAATGAAAATTGTTGAGGTTATTTAAAACTAGTATTGATGATTTATAAGTATTTGGTTAGTGGAGGCTATTAATGGCCAATAATGGCATTTATAAGAGTGGTTAAAGGTGTTAAATGCCATTAATGATGGTTTAATTGTGTATTGAGGCCAATGTGAGTTAGATGAGGCTAATAAACCTAATGGGTATTTTTTAAAGTAAGGTTGTAATTTTGGTGAAGTTGAGAGTGGTGACTTAAAGTGTTGAAATTTATTCTAATAAGGATATTAATTATTATCCTTGTGATTTAAATTGTAGACTAACTAAAATTTTCATACTATGTGTTGATATATATATGGCATGATCATTTATAATGGGGGTCACATAGGAAGAGGAGTAGTGATAAAATTCATATCGTATTCGTGGCTTACTATCATGATCGAAAGCTCGCCAGACTGTCGATTATTGGAATTAAAAGATAGTCAATGTCCCATTATTGTTGAGGGACTTTTCCACTTGTTCTTCGAGGGAATTGAATCTAACTAATATCCACTGATTCATGAAGAAGCTAGCTCAAGGGTACAACATATAGGGATGAGCATTACTTGGTTCGATTTGATACCAAAATGTGTAAACCCTATCAACCAAGCAATGCTAAAAATATGAATCAAATTGAACTGAATAAGGACCAAACTGAAATTTGATAATTTGGTTTGATTAGTTAATTCAATTTTGGACTTCATGTTGGGTTACTTGGACTCGGGCCAATTATGTTTTTTCTCTCTCTAAAATAGACAAGGCTTATATATAAAATTGGCCTTGTAAAATAATAGTATCCCATTTTAATGA